TGCCTAACCTGGTTTAATAAATATTTCTGACGTGTAAATTTAAATAATTCTAAGGTATTTAAATATTCTTAGTAATTATATTTTATCCTAGAAGTGTGTGTGGGCACATTTCTAGACTGTCATTTTAAATATTAGACACCTATCTTTTCTTTTTCCTTCTTCTTTCCTTTTCCTTTTCCTTCCTTTCTTTTCTTTCCCGTGCGCTCTCTCTCTCTCGTTCATTCCTATATATATATATATATATATCTCTCTCTCTCTCTCCTGTTTTTGCTTTAAATCAACCGGATTTCGAACCAAGGAGGAATTTAAATAAGTTTTCAACGTCAAGAGAAGGATTTGAGGTAAGATTTCTTAAAACTTCTCTTAAATCTTGGATTCTTTCGAATTTAAAAACTTATTTTGGTTTGAGATGGATTTTCATGGATTTTGAGTAAAACCATGGTAGAAATTGGAGATCTTGGGTTCTTTGGACTTGATTCAATACTTAGAACCTGTATCTAGTTATTTTTCCTTGGGATATTTTGAATTGGAACTGAAATTGTAAGTTTTCAGACTGATTTTGGTGAGTTTCCTCGCCCTGTTGTTCTCCACAGGTCGATCGGATCGGTCGACCTGTGTGGTCGACCGGACTGCACTAATTCCACCGGTCGACCTATGTGGTCAACAGAATTGCACACCACCGGTCGACCGGTGGTGTTGCACTACTCTGTCACCGGTCGACCGGTGTACACGGGGTTTGACCCTATTTTGTTGGAAAACCCTATTTTGATATCAGTTTTTTAGGAGAACCCAAATTAGCTTCATTTGGGGATCTAGAGTGAATGGATTAGCATCTTTAATCCATGTTTTGAGATTGGAAAACCCTTGGAATGATGATTTGAAACATGAATTGATTTATGAAACTTGAAAATTGATTAAGGCACACTAATAGGAAATCAAAGGATATAATTGAGATTGAGTTACTTTAGGAATGAGAATTGGATCCTAAAGTGCGGTTTTGTGTTAGTGCTAGTTAAGGACTCAGATTGAGGGGCTTTGAAGAAGTGAATGCCAGAATAGAGCAACGCTAGCCAGGTTTGGTATTTGAGATGTAGGATTCCTTATCCCTTTCTTTGTTAGCCTGATTTTAAAAGAGTTTTGGCCTTGCAAATGTTTTAAAGAAATGGCATGTTTGCCAAAGAAAAGCATGTTTAAAAACAATACCTTGATTTTAGCTATTGGAATTATAATGAACTATTTCATAAAGTTTAATGAATGATTTCTTAAGACAAGAGATCTTGCGAATCAGTAAATCGGCTGATAGCCTAGATAAGATGTGGAGAGTGCATCCTCGGGGGCAGAACCCGACACCCAGCCCGGGGATGATAAGGCTTGTGCATGTGGTTATTGATAACTCTATGAAAATAGAGTTAATTGAGCATTTCCCAGGCTTAAATTATTACCTAGAGAGTATTTAGTTTTAGTTTTATCCTTTATTTTGTCTTGTTTCTAGTTTTTAGTTAGTTATGTTTCATGAATTCTCTCTCTTGTGTTTGGCGCTTAAAAAGAGCTAATCCGGGTGCATGTTGTGATTATTTTCAGCTTTGAGAAAGCATTGTCGTTTTGGAGGCTAGCAACAACTTGTCGTTTTGGAATTTTCAAGGAAATTCTAGTCAGCATTGCTCTGCCAAGCCAGCTGGACCAGATTCACATGTTGTTGACTGCTGGGCCTGAGCTAGTAGAATGGGCTGATTTAACCGTGAAGGATGCTGATTTAGCTGCTCATTGGAGGCTTTCTCAGGGGCTGCCACGTGGAATTAGGGTACAATAAGTACCTGCAGCTGAAAGAGAAGAAGGCGTCCTTGGTCATATTTTGGAACGTAGAGGCGGCTAAACTTGGAAAAGGAAACCACCTCCATTTTTCTGATCAAGTACCATTTCCAGTACTGAGGAAGAAGAAGAAGAAAACGTCACAGAGATTTAGACGTGAAGGACCATCTGTTGATGTAAGAGCAGCTAGAAGAATCCTTGGAAAAGGGGGATTCGGATTCTCTCATCATCATTTTAGTCTTTCTTATTCTCATTACTTTGTTTTTCTTGTTAAAGAATATTTACTCTTCTTCTTGAATCTGAACTTGAATTCATAAATATATTTCTATGAGATTATGATTTGTTGGCTGAGGTTGTTGATTTGTTAAATATTAAGTTGCTAGTTGATGTTGAATGGATTTGATGATTATTTCTCTGTTTATTCAAGTGAGCTGAATTTGTGCCTTAACTGTGAGTGGGAAGTCATAAGAGGGGAGTACAGCTTGATTAGATCTGGGAAGATTTAGTTGAGTGGACACAGCTTGAATAGTGCAGGTTCTTAAATCTTGTTTTAGATTTTTTATTCACATGATATAGAAATATATTGTGTCTTGCATAACCATATGATTTAGAGCTTCATTCTCTGATTTTAGAGTCTAGATTTGCAAAGAGATTTGTGGGATTTAGCTTTAAGATCAGTAGACAGAGGATTGGAAAATCCCTGGTTTAGTAAATCTGGTTAACAGGAAGTAGTCGTTGCTGTCCGTTGCTGCAGCATCGCGCAGCATTGTTAGGAGACAGTTTAACAATTGTGAGCCACGCACAGTGACTTTGGCCAATTTTATTTGCACATTTTGTTAATAATTAGTTTTATCTTTGTTGTTCATTTTCTTACAGTCAAATTATTATTAGTTTTTAACATCTGAAAATCAACTTTACTTTTCTTCTTAAAACTTGAATAGAATTAACTTAGCAATTTGATTTCAAAAACACTCAATCCCTATGGGACGATACTTGGTTATTCATCATTTTACTACTTGTTGACTCGTGCACTTGCGAGATTCTAGATCCACAATTTTAGGCAACAGTTATGTAAGTAATTTATTATAGTATAAATTACTTGCTGATGCTTGTAATACGAAGATTTTTAGTTACATTTCCTTTGAGAAAAAGGATGTGAGGTTCCGGCTGTTGTGTTGGAACTGAATGTCTATATTTATTTCATTGTTTATTCATTTATTTATTTACTCATTTATTTCTTTATTCATTTATAAACTTTATTTCAAATTACATCCTATTGGGCCTTTCGCTCACGTTTTATCTGTTTTATAAACATTAACCCCTCCTAGGAGACTCTAGAAGCAATGCGAAGTAGCTGAGTTAGATTGCTACCATCCAATTAGAAGAGGATTGTGTTCTTCCTCCTTGTGAGTAAATGTAAGAATTATAACTCCTGTAAACTCTGAACTTTAAATTTCTAGACAGTGGTTGATGTCTGTAATGTTATTTACATGTTCATGTATGTACAATACTGCATGTCCTGTGGGTGAAGCCCCGAGTGATGTTAGAGGCTCAAGTTCTAACCTCTTCCTTGGAATGTACTTTTCAATTAAATGGGAGGCTTGTTTAGGAATTTCTTGCTAAATGTGGGGCTCGTTTGGAGATTTCTTTAATATTTCACTGTTTGTTTTAATTATTAAATGTTTAACTCCTAATCGAGCCTCCACGTCACCGACCCCTGTCCTAGGGCGTGACACCAGGCTGGGCCTTATCCTGGACCTTGAATGGGCTGGCTCACTCAAGGCCCATCTTGGCCCATCATGGGTTTAGATGGGTCAGCCCATCTAAGCATGCAATTTTTAATTCTTTTATTTTTATATTTTATTTTTAAATTTTTAAACAAGTTAACAAGCATGAAAATGGATATTTTTAAACAAGCATGAAAATGGATATTTTATTTACGATTAACTCATTAAATAAAAATTTTTCCAAGGAAAACCTAGTGGGACAAAACCTTGGTAAGGAAAAATGAGTACAATCAGGATAATTATACATAAGATGTTTACAAAATTACTAAAAAAAAGAAAAAAAAACATGAAGATATTATGGGCCTAGACAGGCCAAGCTTGGCCGACCCATCATGGGCCTAGACGGCCAGGCCAGCCCGGCCCCTCGCCCATGATTTTTCATGGGCCGATATATGTTGACTCAGCCCAGCCCACCAATATTTATAGGCTAAGCCGTGCCTTGAATAGTGACGGGCCGTGTCGGCCCGGCCTGTCACTGTGTCGGGATGGGCCTAGGCCGACCCACGAGTCCCGGCCCATTGTTGCATCTCTATTTTTCCCTTTGAATAATCTATTAGAAGAACTTTGAATATCCAAAAGGGCTTCTTGCCAAAGCCACAAAATGTTGCTTCTCAAAAAAGCTCTTTTCAATAATTTTGAAACATATACCAGAGTTTCAATAAGACTTTATAAAAAAAATTTATAACATTTTTAATGTCTATTAAAAAAATTTAAAAACCAGTATGATCCACTTAATCTCTTTTAAAAATATAGTTTTAAAAACTTATTATAAAGTCACAATTTTACTTCTCTTCTTCTTACCAAAAGAAGCAAAAGCTCTGTGGAAACAGAACATGTTTTTTTATCAATAAAGTTCTTTTAAAATAAAATTCTTAATCAAAGTAGAACTACTATTTCTCGCGAGGAAGCTTACAAAATACAAATTTTGGAATTTTTTTTTCCTTCTTGTAGTTGGATGTCTGTCAGCTTATGTACAGTTTTATTTATTTATTCCTTCCTGCACTTAGTCAATAAAAGTACAAATAGAGCATCCAATGAGATTTTTATGTTTTTCTTCACAATAATTTGCAGTACACCATATAGTTTGATTTTTCGACTATAGAAGCACCGATAGGACTTTTTTTTCCCCCCCTTTATTTCGCTGTAGAGTACTCGAACAACAGAGAAAAGCAACACTAGCAAGGGACAAGAAAAAAGACAACGACGACAGCCAATGGCACATAATATAAGCAAAGCTCATATCCTAAGATTTTATATGTCGAGAGAACGGCACTTTAATTATAATATGGAATCTAAATCCTTATTGAATATTGGAAGCAAGGTAGCTAACGAAGCACTTTTCCCCTTGGTGCATGCCCTATATAAAGGGCATAGAACTAAACCAAATCCAAGCAATCACACAATCTCCATTTCTTAATCTCACCCCCCAACCACCACTAGAGCCACACAAATTTCTCTGTCAAACTTCATCATGGAAACTACGATCCCGACCGGCACCGCTTCTTCGTCAGCTGTTAGCACTACTCCTCTAGGGGCGGCTGCTTCTTTGGCGGCTCCTCTCTCAATAAATGCTCCTACGGTCTTGACGACTCGTCCGACTACTCCTCTGGCGGCAACGGGGATTGCCCCGCAGAGGAATGTCCTCGGTACTACTGCTGCTTCTGCCGTGCAGCCGAATGTAGAGCAAAACCTAGCTGCTCGTTTCTTGGCGAACGGGCGATCTTCTCGTTCGCCGACGGTTGGAGCTAGCAGCCACAGGTCGGACGACACTGAGCTGAGCAAGAGAATTCTAGAAACTCATGAATCTGATGACCGTGCTCTTCCTGTGAAGCCTGTTCTTCGCATCATTGATGTCATTTTTTACCGTGCAAATGTTGACCTCCCTGGATACGTCATGGTATGTAAATCAGCCCCCATAAACTAGTTATTGTTCATCCACTTATAATATATTTATACATATATGTACATGATTATATATACTTAACTAATATGATGATGTTTACTGCTCTTGGGTTACAGGAAAGAGATAATACTGCAGATGAGAAGGTCCTGTATTCCGCAGGTAGCCTCCAGGACTTTGTGGAAATTCCATCCAGGATTACCAGTGCAATTTCCTGTGAGGTAATATTACAAACGACATGGCGCTATAAATATCACTAAAAAAAAAGGTTGTGACCGAAAGAGAAAACTTTCGCGAATTAGTCACAGAAAAGTCTTGTCAGTTGTGATCTTAATACAGCGACAACGAGTTTCAGTGTGAAAAAAATAAGGAAAAAAAATTTAAAAACTTGTGTCGCATCCAATTGCATCACCACATTTGAAAACAAAAACCTGACTAGTCACAGATATTTGTTTTTTAAATGCTAGACATAAAAAGATTTTGTTGGCACTAAAAACAATCTCTATAAAAAAAATGGCTAAACACATGATATTAAAACGGGTCCAACACCAGAATACCCAAGAGATTTTCCTTTTCATTTCCATACTCAAACGAAAACCATACTGAAAGCGCTCCCAAACAAGCAAATATTAATTTATCAAATGATATTTATTTGATCTTCACCCCCAGATTAAGTCCTTAGTACTATTCATTGACTCTTAATATTCGATCTAAATGTAACAGATATTCAGCAAATGCTCGACTGGAGTGGACGTGCACACAATAGTAATGGACATATTGCGTTTGATCAAACACTACAGCTGGGACTCAAAGGCGGTGTTGGCCTTGACTTCATTTGCAGTGACCTTTGGTGAGTTTCGGATTGTCCTTCAGCTTTACTCCACCAGCCCACTCGCGAAGTCCATCGCTCTCCTCAAGCAACTGCCGGAGATATTGGAGCACGCCGCGGACCTGAGACCGAAGCTCAATGAACTCTACTCTCTCATCAACGAAATAACTGATGTGACCAAGAAAATTGTGGAGTTCTATGACATTCCTCGAGTCTACTTCACTGCCGAATCCCCTGAAATTTTAGCCGCCATTCAACACATCCCGACCGCTGTTTACTGGAGCATCCGGAGCATTGTGGTCGCCGCTACACAAATCTTGGCCCTCACTGGCATGGGCATTGAGTACGTATATACCTTATCAGTTCTTGAATTTTACTAGTAAATAATTTACTAACTATTGACTTGTCTTTTCAGTTACTTAACCGAAACATGGGAGCTATCATCCCTTTCCCATAAGCTCAACAACATCAAAGGGCATCTTGCGGACATAATAAAACGCTGTTATGAATTCATTGGTGAGTCCTAGCTATTTAAATATAATAATTAAGCATGTGTCGTATTGATCTCCATTATACGCCTATAACTAAATGATGCGAAATACTATAAATTGTCTGATTCAGAGAGGAAGAAAGAAGAAGAAGCTTATGAGATGATTGTACGCACTTTTACAACATCTCACATTGACAACTCGAGGCCTCTTAGGGTTTTGTTCAAGGATGATCCAACTCCAGCAATCTACGATTGCTTCAACAGAAGAAAGGTGATATATTATATCTCATGATGATTTTTAGAAGTGTGATTTTATTAGCTGGCAAAACAATAATCTCTTGCTATCTCATTGAAAACCAGGTTACGATTGAGGAACTGAGAAGAAAGGTTGTAGCTCTATTCATCACCGCAATAGACCCCGAACTCTCAGGTACAGCTGAATATGCGATCTTACAACAAATGTACTCCGAGAAGAAACACAACCTGACAAGGTCCGAGAGTCAGTACGAGGTAGTTTGGGTCCCGGTCGCGGATATCTGGACCGACGAAAAGTACAGGCTGTTCGAGACCCTAAGAGACCAGATGGAATGGCACTCGGTGCACCATCCTTCGGTGGTGTCAGCGGTGGTCCGCAGGTTCTTCAGAGAGAAGTGGAACTTCTCCAAGAAGCCTCTGCTTGTGGTTATGGACACTCAAGGAAGAATTGTTCACCACAATGCTATCCACATGATGTGTATCTGGGGAAGCTTATCGTACCCTTTCACTGCCAACAGAGAGAAATTGCTTTGGGAGGAAACGAACTGGACCATTGACCTTCTCGCCGACAACCTTGAGCCAAATATGATTTCATGGGTACGTAAATGTTTGTATTTCTCTTCATCGTGCCAAATCTAATATTTATCCACTTTGTCATAATTTTCGAGTAAATTGGTAAAATTTATATGAGCGGATCAGAAAATTGATTAAGCTACATGTAACTGAGTGAGACATATGTCTTCATTCACATTTTGAAAATTTTCTTATTTTTCCTACTTATATGTGCTTTAAAATATTACAGTCACAAATCACACCCTAGTTTATTACAATCTATTATATATATATACACACACATATTGCACTAAACTTAAAATTTTTTTTATTTTCAGATTAACGAAGGGAGATACATTTGCTTGTACGGAGGGGAGGACATGGAGTGGATCAGGAAATTCACAAGGATCGCAAAAGATGTCGCACGGGAATCTGGGATCACTCTGGAATTACTCTACGTGGGGAAGAACAAGGCAAAGGAGAGGATCACCAAGAACATCATTGACCTTATCACCAAAGAGAGTCTGAGCAGAAGTCTCGACTGGAACCTTATTTGGTACTTCTGGCTCCGCTTGGAGAGCATGTGGAACTCCAAGGGACAGTTCGCCAATCCCGAGAACGTGAAGAACGACCTCATCATGCAAGGCATCATCGCCATGCTCAGCTACGGCTCCAGCGACCAAGGTTTCGCGGTGATCAGCCGTGGATTTGGCCAGATGGCGAAGGGCAACGGGGACCACATGTTCAAGGGCTTGGCCGAGCACGGCCGGTGGAGGAAGAGGGAGACGGAGATCAGTTTCGTGCCTGCGCTCGACGAGTACCTCCGCAAGATCCACCTCGACGCGCCGCATCACTGCCCCAGCCTCATCTTGCCGGGCACCGGGGCCATGCCGGATACCGTGGCGTGCGCCGAGTGTGGACGCTTGATGGAGAAGTACACCATGTTCCGCTGCTGCCTTGACTGATATCAGAGCAAATTGCTATGGCGCCTTATCTCTATCATAATTAAATAAAAAGAAAATGAGATGGTTTATTTTGTTGTTTTTGTGATGTGGTTATATATGCCCTACTTATGTATTGCCTTTGGCTTTTTGTGAGAACCATGCACTACCTGTTGGCTGTTGCTTCGGCTACGACACACATACATATTTATTATACTGCATGATTTTACTAAATGTGCGAGTATTACAATGAAAAAACCTAGAGAGTACTGTTAAACACCACAACTAATAAAAAACGATTCAACTTTTTATTAATACGTGGTGTTGGATGCCACCGGTGTCTCCAACTTTATCTCAACTATTAATGCTAAGCTATTAGTGATTTATTTAGTTTTTTTAACCAAAATTGCACTATATATATTGTACTGAACGTAAAATCTTTATTTCAGATTAATGAAGGGAGATACTGTTTGGAAATTGTATTTCCTAATAATTATGGCCACATATTTATAATATTATATTAACGCTATTTAATTAATTGGGCTAATTAAGTGGTCTAATTGTGGAGAGCCCAATAGTCTCCTAACTGGATATGGGCTAAATGAGTGGATACTTATTATTGACCTAATTAGGTTTAATGGGAGCCTAATGGGATAGTATATAAAGCAACTTAGGTTATGGTCCATAATATGTTAAATCATTCGGCCGTTTTCCTTCTTCCCCATCTAGAGAGAAAACAACCCAGTTAAGAATCTGGTGATTTGACTGAGGAAGACAATAACTCAACGCGCTCATTGTCTTAGAGAATTATACTGGAGAGACAGGTATTTGTTCTAACCTATTTTCTTAGTAATTTAGTGTGATGATTCCTGTAATGTGGAATAAGGATTTAAAGATCCAACAAGTGGTATCAGAGTGGTCATCACATTAAATTATTGAGAGAATTTTCATCTCCAATATCTCCGGTTGAACATCATGTTGACTGATTCAAATGATATGCTTTATTTTGTTGAGAAAAGCATGTATATTAATAATCATATGAATTTTGTTGAATTTGTTGAATAATTTTAGATTAATTGTTATTCACAAAATTGATTTTCTAGAAAATTAGGGATTAAGCAAATTTGGTAAAGGAATTTATTAAAGAAGCTTTTTTGGTTTTTGGAAAAAAAAAAAAAATTTCCTTCTTTCTTCTTCTCTTCTTTGGTTGAAGATTGTGGCCGGCAGCAGCCTTGGCCGCCAGCACTGAGGAAACAACGGCGTGGCCATTGGGCCACGCCAATAGGCTAAAAAAAAACACGAGCCGGCA